TCGTCTCGAGACGTGCCCAACCTCCTCGAGAATTTCTCTCTGCCTATGAGAAGATTCTGTCATTCGCAACAAACACTCGTGGCATTTCGAAGTGGATGGGATAGATTTTTCCTCGATGGAAAAGGTCGAACGACAGAAGAGTCCGCGACGTTGAACCTCGGATTCGTTCAGGCAGCTCGCGGTCCGCTGCTTTTGTTTTCGCATTTATCGGCGACAGGGACTCGCCTAGGCTTCTAATAATTAATTTATCGACACCGCCATCGTATACCCTAGTGCAGGTCCGTGACGGACCATCGAATACATATAGAGTGACCTTTAATCGCACCGCGTTTTCTTGATAATATGGACGACGGCAACATCCTTATGCGCGACAAACGTGTCAATCCCTACGTACCAACGGGGAATTCTGAACCAGCAATGCTAATGGCGGCAGTTCGGTTTACAGACCCGTCGATTAGGAAATTTAAACAAAGACGATGCCGCTTGTGGTTCGGAGAATCGGAGGACGATAAGCGGGCAAGCCGAGAGACCGCCTCTTCGAGATAAAGATGGCCGGTGTTTGAACGTTTACCAAGTCGGTTTATGATACATGGAGGAAAAGAATTTCCTAGTTATTGTTTCGGTCAAAATATTGACATGTTCCGTGACTGCAGTAGGTTCGAAAAGGTTTGAAAATATTCTTTTCTTATTCATTCAAACGTATATCGAGGATCATAGGGAACACGTGCGCCGTATGTCATTTGTGTGTACATAAACGGAAATAACATCTGCCGCCGGTTGGCTGACACAGAGAAGAAGGCGAAAATTTAAAAATTCCACTGCAGAACTTCTCGAGCTTTAGACAACTTCTTTCCGGTTCTATGTGAATGAGGAAGGTTGCACAAAGAACGCTCGCCCCACAGTGGCAGCCCGATAATAACCGTAAACGTAAGCAGAAGAGAAATCTTTGCTCCACAGTAGCGGAATAGCCTTAGGTATTTTTCAGTTACATGACAGTATAGTAATATTATACGTCGATTTATAACAGTGGGAGAAAGTGTGAACATTATTAAGTTCGAAATTGTATTTTAAATAAACAGTGTCTTTCACAGGTCCTTCCGCCACTTTTGATATTGTTTTTAACGTTGCTCATTATTTTCTTTTTAGAATGATCGTTTATGGTAAACCGATCGCCAGTTAGAAATATTTACAAGGAATGCGGGACAAGAGCAAACAGATTATGTAACTAGACGATACATGCCTCGCATTGTCATTACATAAGAATCACAGTCCAATTCTGGAACAATAGTATGACGATTTAATAATTATGACCTATAATATATATGACTGTGCATAAATGTGTAACGTCGCAAAACAGTTTTGTAACAAACCTCGGCGATTGGTGTCACGTTACAGTTGCACGAGGTATACAAGTCGCATTTGAGAATTTCGAATTATTACTTTTATAATAAATACATGTATTTTGTAGTACATAGGAGATTTCATAATTTAAACGTTCGCGACTTTTCAAATCGCGGTGTAAAAACATTCTTAAAATGTAACTCTAATAACAAGTAAATTATTTGTCAGATGAATTCTTTAACAAGCCAAGTGGAGGGAGAAGGTGGTCCTTGGTACTGCAACTTGCGAGACGATTACGAAATCTATGTTGACACGTTCACAATTTTTGGACGTGATGTCCTTAACGCCAAAGAAACGGCTTTATCTTTTGTGTCAACTAAGGTGTGGTGCGAAAACGTCGAGTTACTAATAAGTAAAAATTGTACTTTTATCGAACTAGTGTCCACTTATCTACAGCTCCCACAGAATTTAATTTTCCAAAAAATTATTTTACTTTCACCATGCAAATTTTCATTTCTCACAACAATGGTTCGATGAGATAAATCTCGTTTCGCATTCCACAAAATACAAGGAAATTTACACAAATTAAAACTAGCCTCACGAGGACAACTTATTTCTGTAAGTTACATCACGCGTACTTCCGAATATCTTGAAATATGGCGGAAGCAATTTATCAGTGATTCAGAGGTCGCGTAATATCCGCTATATTCATGTTTTGTTCTACGATGTATGTAAATACGAATGTAAACTATAGGCTTTTTATCCGTTAGGAAATATTTTGAACACACACAGATTTTTCAACTATATAAATAATTTTTATTATTTTTACTGAGAATTATTATAGTAACGCACAAATTAATTCGGTTCAAAATATTTTACAAAACTTGATCGCATATGGTATACCATAACATACCGATCGATCAAAATTATGGCAAGTCTTTCGTTTGTGTAACGATTATTCTAATCAAACACACTATAAAAAATACCAATAAATTGCATTTATGAATTATATCTCCGTTGTATATAGTGTGTTCAATGCTTTGATTTGAAACAGCTATAAATTCCCGTGTTTAGTTTTCGAACGAAATTCCTCGACAAATAGTGCTTACGTCTGCATGTCGAACACTGTCAGACTATTTGCAGGCCTTACGCGCATAACTTCGCGGGTTTCAATGTCGAAATCGGCCTTTGTATCGGCGAATTGTTACGCGTCTTACGTCACACAGCTTTTTGACGTGCAATAAATCTCCTGGAGGATGCATTTCTGCAAATAAAAGGCGAGCGTGTGCACGCGAACGAAGGCTCGTCCCGTCAAGGATTCGGAGAAAGTTGTTTCAGGGCGTTGATTGGCGGATGACGAAATCACGGAAGCCGCTGGCCAATCATTGCTCTGGAAACTTTCCCAGAACACTTAACCCCTTTGACCGTTACATAAATATCATCCGATCCGGTGCAGCGTGTTGTTACAGCAACATATTCAACGCGACGAGATAAAGGGAACGCCGGACGACAACAATTCGTTGTTGTTGGCTCTCTCCCACGTAAAAGTACGACAAAGTACGTAACGCGCTCGCGAAAGCCACGAACCAGCGACGATCTTGCGTAGAAAACACGTTAGAAAACCATACATACATACATACATACATGCATACACACTTACATATGTACACACACTATACAGCGAATGATCGTTTCCGATCGTGCCCGGCTCGCCACAAAGCAGAAAAGTGTTCCAACTTTCTTTTAAACTAATTCGAGAAATAAATTAGAAAATCGAACGCTGTGTGCTTAGTTAATCGATATCACTTGGCGGCAAATTGTAGGATTTAGAGAAAGTAATCAGATGTAAAGGCGGCGACAAAGTCACCGTGCGTCGAGTTCAACCCAAGCTCCGGGCACTAAAGACATCAATCGAAGCCGACTTTTAAAGTTTAACTTGCCGAGTTCTTTGATCTCGAAGCTCAGTCCGAGCTGTCATCCCCGGCCTTACGACATTCACCGCCAATGAAGGAAATGTAATTCTTTCTTTGGGCGTTACTTCAAGTTCAATTTCTCTTTATTTATTTGTATAACAAACGCTTCGATGATAAAAGCGTGTCGTTGAATCGCCTGGCGCTCCCCTTTTGTAATAACAAACTATGCGCACGATAAAGCTCGAGTGTAATTTGTCAAATCCGTGACCAAAGAAACGACAGCAAATTATCATTGAAAAGCGCTAAGTGTTTTTCAAATTGAAATATTTAACATTTTCGGCTGTGATCGAAATCTACGGGAACCACTTACGGGTGGACACTGGAACGCAGAATGGGTGTTGGTCAGCATTATTGGAAGGCTGACGAGGATTAATGTGTGCGAGCTATTTAATCGAAACAATGCTCGAGGTTCAACGAGGAAGCAATTTATTGGGAATTAGAAAGGAACGCTGGAAATCACCTTATTACCGGAGAAATCGAGACAATTGTTGCAAACTGTAATGTATGTACGACTAGAAAGACATACTTTCCTCGGTGTTCATTTATAGATCGACGCGTGCGTGTATAGCGGTAAGCGCGCACGCTTATGGGCTTGGAAACAAGGAAGCGAAGAGAATATGCACCCGTCTATAAGTTAACTCGAAACACTGAAACACGGCAATGGCTTTTCTGTCGACTTAGCCGGAGCGAATTGTCGCGGATCTTGTGGAAAACTTCGATACAATTTATATACCGGCGTGCCCGGTAACTTGAAGTATGTCAGGGTTAAATGGGAAGCCATCAACGAGTGAGACTGTCTAGAAATATTTTTCACAGTAATGTTCAAAGAAGACCTCCAGTAATGGCCGTCATAAATTACAACGACTTTTTTCTACTTTCTATTTTATACATATGTCGACTCTTGTCTATTTTCGTAAACAATGAATTAGTCATAGTTTACATTAAAAAAAATTAAAAAAACAACACGCAGAAGATGGCTGCGTCTGATCAAACAGTATATTTACTGGCGGCGCTTGTGTCGTTTGATACGATCTTACGTGTTTCACACGTTCTCCATTACAGCGGCACGCTCGTTAATTTCAAATAATCGCGGGCATGTTCGCACGTGCGCGGAAACGGCCGTTTAAATATATATCAGGAGCGACACTATATATCCACCTACTCTTTGCATTAATTATTCTGGATTACAAAGTCTCCCGCTTTCCGAAGCTTTCTTCCACATAAAAGCGGTAGGATAATTATATCCTCGCGACGGGCAAGAAATGTGATTAATTACCGACATGTTAAATAAAGATACGCATCCCACGAAGGGAAGACAGACGTCTTGACCAGGGGGTTCTTGAGCTCTAATAAATATTCTCGGAACCTTGCTTTTCTTAGTATTACTGGTTCTTTGTCGAATGTTTTCGTATGACGGAAACATTTAATTTTAGACATTGATATTAACAAAGGAGTAACGACGCTTAATGTACCGATCGTTATCGAATTTTTGTCTGATAAAAACCGTTATCTTTGCCAGAAGAAGTTTTTATCGACGTTCCTCTGTAAATTCGAACTATACGCGGGACGTTCGTTCCCGCGCGTGCCTCGAGCGAATAATGCGCAGACGCATGCGCCCGAGGAGCTTCGACTACAGCGCACGCTGTCAATGACAGCTGATGGTACGCGAGAATAAACGAACTAAAGTTGTGACAGCTGATACTACCCTGTCTTCCTGAATAAGGTGAGCCACGACCTTGTTGCGTACAATCGCTTCCGGCCAATCAGCGCGGCCCGTTCATAATTCTATTTATTTTATTAACCAATCAACTTAACCTCTTATGGTCCCGTGGGTTACAAGCTGAAGTTAAAATAGCTTCGAGTGTAAACAGTTAACCTTAAAGATCCAATTGTGTATTACCAGAAATGACGGTTTCTGGAACAGAAACACTTTTTTTACACCGAATATATATTTAACATTAGAATTAGAAAGCACCAAGGATGACTGCTCTTTATATTACTTCATAGAAATAACAAGTAATTGATCCAGACAATTTTTATTCTGCATAAAGAACCGCAGTCTAGTTATAACTCTCTCGATGCTATTCACATACCACCGCGTGCATACCAGTGAACTGTAAAGAATTAACGCATTAACGTATCTTTAAACGCTGAAATAAATCACGGAAGCTTTATCGTCACGGTGACGATTAATCTTTCCAGCGGAAACTCGATATACAATGTGTCTACGGTTATCACCGAACCATGAAGGAACTGTTCCATGTTAGATTTCTTACAGCAGTCGCGATTTGGACGCAGCATTCATGTATATTCATGGCGCGCAGGACAGGTCGACTAATGTATGCAACGTGAATGACAGTTAATAGTTTACTACCTTCGTGGATTAAGTGGTTAATGTGTTGATCTGTCGAGCACTATTATTCTAATTAACGCATCTCGCATACAATTGGACCGATTCGGATTCTACAAGTCTCTATCTGTGCATCTGCGTACTTTCAATAATTCATCATATCCGGTAATGAAAATTTTCAAACTTAACACAATTTACTCACAATCAACACATAGAGACTGTAAAGTTTGGTCAAAATATGCTCAAGGTTTAAAACTCGCATTTAAAATAATGTAAAAGTGTCTAACTCGCAAAACACGACTCAATCAGATACCAAGCTTAATTTTGCTAAAGGGGACTACGGATGTGTGGGTTAGCGTAATCTATGTATACATAGTTAGAAATATCGACGTTCTTGACTTGGCGTTTGACATAAGTAAACCGAACAAAGTTAGATGGTTGGCGCTTTAGGCGATAGAGTGTATACATGCGCGTTAGATCATCCCCTCCGCATGCAACATGACTGATAGATAAAGAAACGAAACGTACCATACTGTGTCGTGCTCTCCACAATTATTCACAACTCTTATCAATTTAATCAATAGTTTTCCTTAAAAAAAAAATGTTTTATGCCAATTTTACAAAGTGTAGTATTTTCGATCGCCGTGTATTCTGCTACACATAACACTCGGAAGTTGTTCACGGTTTCCAAAGATTTCTACGCTGACGTCACGTACAGTCTCATATACACCAACACGAATAATATGGATCACACCCACCTGCGTGGTATACTAGCGCACTTATATATGTACATATTACGCCAACGTAGGGATTTTGTGACATTTCTACTTGGTTGCATTAATGGTGCACAACAATACGGTGTTCTTTTTCTAGAAAACCACTGGCCGTAAAAGCAAGTATCATTGGAATATTATCTAAAATTTTACAAGTTGAACAATCTTTCTTGGAAATAATGTACTAAAAGTATGAGAGTTTTTACAACAAATAATGAAATCTCATGGTAATCTCACTTTTAATTTTTCGTAATTTTTATAAAAAAAACCAGCTAACATGTTTGGCTATTCACAGTATGTCAAACCCTCAAAATAACAAATCCCCTGACATCAGATTACAATTAGACGCAAAATGTTCCCGAAGGAGTTTTTCATTTTCAGCGGTCGGCGTGATCAGTTTAAAATTGCCGCTTTGATTCGTGCGCCGACCGAAGAGACACACGGTTCCGAGACCTCATTATGCAACGAACAATTATGAAAATTTAATTACGCTTCACCTTGAGCACGCGTGCAGGAATATAATGTCCGAAGGCTGCTCCATTGTCGCCGGACCGCGAGCGTCACGAGCGACCGCTTCACGCCGGCAAAACAAACGTTTCATAATCCAGTGGATTCCGTCGCGTGTAAACCAATCGTTTTGCGCAAGCAATATGTACGGTCGTCTTCGGAGAATAGAGAATCGCGTAGTTCTCGCTTCTCCACGAAAGTTTTCTTGCTTGCTCGCTGATTTCATCGGTCTCGGTTTCCAAGCGTTCGTAAAACGCTCAACGTTTTGTTTCCTTGCATCTCCATTCGACAACGAAAACATCGGCCGACAAATGTGTTCCGAATTGTCAGTATATAAAAATTATATTAAAAAATAAATGATTCGTCAATAGCACATTGAACCTAATAAATAAAAGATGTGTGAAGTAAAGTGTTTATTCCTAATAGTGTGTCGTTAAGATTTTCATTTCCCAAAATGGCAGCAAGAGAGAGAGAGAGGAGTAAAATTTTTCTACGTGCCAACGCTCCAAGGTGAATTTATAACGTGTCACTACGTCTGACATAATTCTTTGTCAGTTCTGAGGCGTCTCTTCGTCGTCCTTGACAAACGAATACCCTCGCTCCACAAGCACGAGTGCGCAATCAAAGATGACGATATTATTTCTGACTCGTTGATATTTGCCAATTTGGTAAATACCGGTGTGTGTGGCCTGTCCAAAAACCTCTCGAGCATTCGTAAAAATTTCGATAGCCGTGCAATGTTCGAAAACTACGGCACTCATTTTATACTTTACTCGATAATTGTACTTAAGATTAAATTCTGTAAGAAAAAATTTGAAAGAAAAAGAAGAGAGAAGGAGAAGAAGTAGAAGTTCGAAGAATGCCACTAGTCGTCGGCAAATAGTATACGTTAAAGTACCAGAGGTATATGAATCGGCAAGTCGACCTCATTTATTTGTGGATAAGGGCAAAGTGTGCGCAGCAGCATGACTCTCCCTGGTGCATCCCCACCAGCGATCCACCGGGTGATTCCCCCAGAGGTAATACGTCCCTGGGAAGCACGGTATGCGCCATCGAGTGTACGCTTATTTTAACAAACCTATTTCTGATATTGTGCCACCGCGAAAGAGACGGGTGCCTGTATCGAGATTAGAAGGCTTTCAACGAAACCGATTTACTCGCCGCGCGGAGACGCAATAACGCGAACCGCGCGTGCATATGGCCAGAAATCGACTGCGTTGTGTACGGTGAGCACATTCGACAAATGCCCCTACTTCCTTCCCACACCCTTCCCACGAGAGAGCGTGCTCGAAACAGTGTTTCTGTTTCGATGGCGTTAGGTGAAAGCTCGACAGAGTTCATAGAAGTAGCGTTGGACACGGGTTAGATATGCGACGGGGGTATGTTGGCTATCGATGCAATAAGTTCAATCACGTACAACTCCAATTCCAAAAATAATATATCTGCAATCGATAATGTTACGAAACTCTAACAAGTTTTTAATTTCGTGAAAATGTCGCTGATAATGAAATAATCGATACTGCAAGTCAAATTTCGACAATTAGATAATCGATGTTCCAATTGTACTAAATTCGTTTAAATGTTTGATATCATATGTTTGGAATTCTTAAATGAATTATGAATTTTTCGTCGTTCGATAAGAATTTATATATATATAACATAACTTCCAGTTTATGGAACAAATTTGTAAAAAGTACCAGCAAATGATTAAAATTGCTTCTAGACAGCTTTTGATAATTTTCGAACAGGTCAAAACATTTGATAAAATTTCAAGAACGTACAATACATTTCTACCTAAATTGATTCGAACTGTTCCAACAATCGAATACATGAATTTTCACAGCACCAGCAACAACCTTGATTCGCAAGCAATATGGGTCACTGAAGAAAAGAAAAATATTTGAATGAAACTAAAATTTCTTAATATAACGAAATACAGAAGTGAAAAAGAATTGAAGTCAGTAAAAATGTTGCAGAAATAATATTGTTTCTACAGCCAGCAGAGCGGGGCGCCGCAAGGCTGCAGTTTCGGATAAATGTCAAGGCATCCTGACATAGTTTTTCGGTTCCTTCAAACGCCTATCTATAGGACGGAAGAAATGCTTTCGGCCTAGTGTTCGAGCAGTATAGGAAAACTCAGTTTGGAAAACTATCTCTGATAGTACAGTGACTTGGTGTACGACTGTTCGCGATAAACGATTAGATACCTCGAGCACGGCGGTGCCTATTGCACGTTTAAAATTGCCAAGATTATCTTAGCGTACGCCAGAGACAACGTATATGTGCATCGTAATACGTGATGGTGGCGCGATTCGATTCAAATTCATCCGGATTGCCCGCCGCTCTACCGCTAACCTTGTCTCGTCTTTATATTTTCGTGCCGCCTGATAACAACGTCAGTGACAATGTCATACCGATTATCGTCACGCCAAACGAGATATCACGACCGAAAGAAAGATATCCGCTTACCCGATTGTTAAATCGCTCCTTTGAAAGCTACGCGATTAATCGATACAATTTTCTTAATTTTCAGGTTAAGGCGTTAGTTCCGAAACGCCACACGCTATGCAACTGAATATTCAACGATTAAGCTCGAAAAACAATTTCCTCTAAAGTTCTATTCGGAAAAAATCATCAAAGTTATACATTACATTATTGCCAGCTTAGTGAGCTCGGAAACTTGTTACACGCCGATAAGAGTATACGAATGCTTTAAAGAATTCACGATTTAACAATATATTTTCTCGCTTTTCCATTTCCTATCGACAGTATGCGCATAAACAGGCTAGGTGTGACATATGTACTCCTGATTTGTGATAGCAAAATATGAATGTATTTTTATCATTGGTTCGTAGATATTTAAAAGACTTTTAGTTATTGCACATAGAGGTGTTAATACGTCGAACATAACACGTCGTCCTGCGACCCTACAGGCGATCGAAGATTACAGTGGTCGTGACTTTCTGCTTGTTTTCGTGTCTCCGTCTATGCGAGTCTTCCCTCTCTCCGTCTTGGTTCTCTTTCTCTCACGGTTAACCGGGATCGGATCGAGAAACGAGCAAGACGGAGTGACACATCTTTAGAACAATCACCCGTTGTGAAAGCGCCTTACCGGTTAGAATATCTACTACCGCAACGTAATATAACGAGCAAGTGGTGAGTCGAGAAATCGAGAACCATACCGTTCCTTTACTTCCAACACATCTCACAGATTTCGAATATTTCTTATGCAGTCTCTTTTGTACCCAATACTCGCTCTAACGATCATATTCGAAAGGATGACTTGATAAACACCGTTTTCACGATCCAATAAAACATTTCACTCGTTCCTTTATCGTTGTACAATTATCATAGCTTGATTCGATTAATCGAAGAATATCAATCACAAAACGTAGAGATCGAAATATTTTCAAATACATCGTCGTCGGTAGGTTTGAAAGCAACGTGACACTCATTAATGCAACGAGTTTTCGATAACCACTTGTGTAAATTCGATTATTTTTTAAACACACTTCCACTTACCTAAAGGACGACACGAAAGCTCATTATCCTCGATAGATACACCTCGTCCACGGTATAATCCAATCCTCCTCGTGCAAACGCAATAGAATTGATAAAAGAAAACACTAGAATCACACTACTAACGAGCACACTTCCCCGCGTCCACGGAATCTGTCTACGTTAATCGTCATCGTCCGTCACGACGACGAGCACGAACACCACGCTGCTTAGCACTGCAACGCCTTCGTCTATTCATCACCTCGTCATAACAACGACAAAACGAGTGAGAACGCTCCACGGGCTCGACTGAACGTGTGGAACCCACCGGAGAGTGTTGCACGCGCGTGCGACTCGGATGCGCCGTGAGAGAGGGTAGAACTCCTTTGCTCGTGGCGGACACCGGTGTTGTGTCCTTGCGACAGCAACAACTTTATCGAATGCTAACGTATCTTCAACTGTTCTCAATGGGAATGATCGTAACTGGCTAAACGAATGTCAAAAACCATTAACACAAAACCTATAGTATATCGTACGCATAATTTGATTCTTCTTATTTCTTTCTTTTCGTCGCACGCTGTTTTTTTTCTCCCTTTTCTCCAATTCTCTCCCGACCTCCTTATCCCTCTAAAATTTTTCTTTCACACACTTCGCAAAGGAAAACTTGAATTACGTATCCAATGGTCGTGCTATTACGCGCGCCTCAGTTTGTCACAGACGTGTTATCGGTGTACGACAAACTTCGTGTATAAACGATGACGACATTAACAACAACGGATAATGAGAACGATGACGGAAGGAGCAGCAACAGAATTCACGAGAACCATCACGAAAACATTTGAGGATCGTCGCGTGGATGGTCGTCGTCGACGATACTCGTGAACGGAGCAAGAGCGTCCTCTCAGTATTCGCGGACGGCTGACTCTGACTGCTCGGCTGACTGACTACTCCGCGCCGGGTAGCATTGGCCCCGCTAAACGGTTGAAAGTAATACTGTCTAGTGAGAGGCTGTTGGGGCCAACATCGGTCTTCCTTGCTCCCTCTTTCTCCGTTCTTGTCTCTCTCCCTCGGCTAGTCCTGTCTCCCTCTCACTCATTTCGCGCGCTCTCTATCGTCCGTTGTGTGTATACGCTTGGTGTACCTACGGCGTGTGTCCCTGTCCGTCGATTCGTCGTCACGATCGTGTATCACCACACGAAAGCGTGCGCTGGTGGTGGTGGTGGACCGTGTCGATGTAGTGGAAGCAAGAGCAACGGGTATGCTGATATCGTAGTATTAGTAGTAACGCGGATTGACAGAGTGCATGTGTTGGTATCGAGGCAGCGAACACGACACCAACGGAAGACTGTGTAGTGATAGGTTGGTCGGAGGAACGCGGTGGGAGTAAGTTACACGCGCGTACGTATACAAGCGCAGGCGCACATGAACGCCATCTAGCAGGACCGCGACACTCGCACCCAACGCACAGACGCACGAACACTGCGGCACACGCGTGTGCCACTCCACAGAGACGCAGACCGGAGTCTGTCGGATAGGACGATGGTGGGGATACACAGGCGACTCTACGAGCGACAACCGATAGAGGAGATGCCGCAGGGGAGAGGGGAGAGGATGCGGTTTGACCGGGTGGGGGTAAGAAGAGGAAGGAAGGTGGCAGATGGATAGAGACCGAGAAGGACGTGCAGGGGTTGGGTGGGGTGAGAAACGACGGAGAGCGAACAGTGGCGAGGGGTCGCTCCTCCGACCGAGGGGTTGTCGTGCCGGTGGGGAGGTTTGACCTGAGCTAGTTCCCCTCCATTCAATCCACGGCCACAATATCGGTTATAGCGAGCCACTGTTGCCAGATTGTGCGCCTCGACGGCGGCGTGTGGGTGGAGCCACGCGATAGAGGGAAAAGGTCCCCCTGTAACACCGCTAGCGTCCTCTTCTCTCGTCCTCGTGCATACTGCTCGATCCGAGAAACGAGCACGTCTGTACGTTTCTCTTTCTCCCTTACTCTCTTCCTCCTCGTCGCTCTCCTTTTTCGCTCCTCTTTTTCTCCGTTCTTCCTTTCTGCCAGCAACTGGACTGCCTTCTCTTTCTACACAATGGCGTCCTCCGTCTTCCGTTCTCGGCTGCTCCCGCGCTGTTGTTGTCGCTACCGGGACGCACGCAGACCCCTTCGAATCCAAGGTGCATGTGGCATTTCTACGTGCGCCGCCCGGAACTTATGTATGTACCAACGGTATGCGTGCCTCTCTGTCGATAGTGGTATATCGTGTGGCACATACTCCTCCGTGCTGTATAGCCGATCGCCTCGAACGGGATGTTTAACGCGATCTTGTTACAAACAAGATCGATTAGCCGAGCAAATGGAAATTATGTAGACAATTTGTGGAGAACCTTTACAGATCGTTCCTTAAACTTGCTCCCGTTGAAATTTATGTTTCGACTCGTGTCTGCGACTATTTCTATCGCGTTTTTCGTTTATAGTCGCTTAGGAATGTAAGCTTACTACCAACTGTGGCCGTTACTTCCATTTTGACAAATTCTTACAAATCGTCCATTGATTACGTCATCTTTTAATATCCAACTGAAATTACTAGCTATTTAAGTTGAGGAAATACGTCTAAAAATATTTAAAGAAAAAATGATAAATAAAGGTTTGAATGGATTCGTTTACCTAAAGTTAGATTGACATCACGGAAAATAGGTCAACGTATGATTAGATGTATAGAACAGTTAAGGGAATTTCGAAATTTTCATTAATAATAAATGACGGTACGTTTAGAAAGCCATTAGTTTACTTTTCACAGACGACTCTTTGTATTCGGTTTCATTGATTTCTGCCCCAATTTTCTTCCGCACGTCGATTAGCTTCGAATCTATCGAGGTTTATTCGATCATCTAAAGAATTTAGAAGTTCATTATTCATATTCGTGCACATGCACGTTCCATTAATTCATTTCAAAGTGTTTTTCAACGGTTTCGGACGTAGATTGGGAATGTTGAAACGGGATTTCACGTTAAGTTGTCCTGTACGTGTGTGCGTCTCATGTACAAACGCACAAACGTGTATCTGTACATGGGTACAGAGCTAAGTTCACGCGTTATTTCTGTATTTGGCTGCCGATGAATACGAAGTTGCTCTTCGAGTCCTCGTTACGTGTCACGGATGTTTAGAATGATACGTCTGTGTATGTTTCAGACAATCACGATCGTCTTGGGTGTCTCTCCTGCGCTAGCCTGGAAAGATCGGTCGCAGCGTTGCCTTGTCGGACGTTACACAGTCGGATCGGTGCTCATAAATGTATAACGAAATACAGTGCGTTCTTGTTATATCGGGGACTGGCTCACAGATTAGTTCAACTTACTGCAAGCTTTAATTTGGTTATTTCGTTCGGCATATAATTAATATGAAGGCTGAAATTGAATTACATCTTGAAAGGACAATAGAAATATATTTTTTCAGAACTCTGAAGCGTATGGTCTAGTTATACATGTATGACAAAANAGACCGAGAAGGACGTGCAGGGGTTGGGTGGGGTGAGAAACGACGGAGAGCGAACAGTGGCGAGGGGTCGCTCCTCCGACCGAGGGGTTGTCGTGCCGGTGGGGAGGTTTGACCTGAGCTAGTTCCCCTCCATTCAATCCACGGCCACAATATCGGTTATAGCGAGCCACTGTTGCCAGATTGTGCGCCTCGACGGCGGCGTGTGGGTGGAGCCACGCGATAGAGGGAAAAGGTCCCCCTGTAACACCGCTAGCGTCCTCTTCTCTCGTCCTCGTGCATACTGCTCGATCCGAGAAACGAGCACGTCTGTACGTTTCTCTTTCTCCCTTACTCTCTTCCTCCTCGTCGCTCTCCTTTTTCGCTCCTCTTTTTCTCCGTTCTTCCTTTCTGCCAGCAACTGGACTGCCTTCTCTTTCTACACAATGGCGTCCTCCGTCTTCCGTTCTCGGCTGCTCCCGCGCTGTTGTTGTCGCTACCGGGACGCACGCAGACCCCTTCGAATCCAAGGTGCATGTGGCATTTCTACGTGCGCCGCCCGGAACTTATGTATGTACCAACGGTATGCGTGCCTCTCTGTCGATAGTGGTATATCGTGTGGCACATACTCCTCCGTGCTGTATAGCCGATCGCCTCGAACGGGATGTTTAACGCGATCTTGTTACAAACAAGATCGATTAGCCGAGCAAATGGAAATTATGTAGACAATTTGTGGAGAACCTTTACAGATCGTTCCTTAAACTTGCTCCCGTTGAAATTTATGTTTCGACTCGTGTCTGCGACTATTTCTATCGCGTTTTTCGTTTATAGTCGCTTAGGAATGTAAGCTTACTACCAACTGTGGCCGTTACTTCCATTTTGACAAATTCTTACAAATCGTCCATTGATTACGTCATCTTTTAATATCCAACTGAAATTACTAGCTATTTAAGTTGAGGAAATACGTCTAAAAATATTTAAAGAAAAAATGATAAATAAAGGTTTGAATGGATTCGTTTACCTAAAGTTAGATTGACATCACGGAAAATAGGTCAACGTATGATTAGATGTATAGAACAGTTAAGGGAATTTCGAAATTTTCATTAATAATAAATGACGGTACGTTTAGAAAGCCATTAGTTTACTTTTCACAGACGACTCTTTGTATTCGGTTTCATTGATTTCTGCCCCAATTTTCTTCCGCACGTCGATTAGCTTCGAATCTATCGAGGTTTATTCGATCATCTAAAGAATTTAGAAGTTCATTATTCATATTCGTGCACATGCACGTTCCATTAATTCATTTCAAAGTGTTTTTCAACGGTTTCGGACGTAGATTGGGAATGTTGAAACGGGATTTCACGTTAAGTTGTCCTGTACGTGTGTGCGTCTCATGTACAAACGCACAAACGTGTATCTGTACATGGGTACAGAGCTAAGTTCACGCGTTATTTCTGTATTTGGCTGCCGATGAATACGAAGTTGCTCTTCGAGTCCTCGTTACGTGTCACGGATGTTTAGAATGATACGTCTGTGTATGTTTCAGACAATCACGATCGTCTTGGGTGTCTCTCCTGCGCTAGCCTGGAAAGATCGGTCGCAGCGTTGCCTTGTCGGACGTTACACAGTCGGATCGGTGCTCATAAATGTATAACGAAATACAGTGCGTTCTTGTTATATCGGGGACTGGCTCACAGATTAGTTCAACTTACTGCAAGCTTTAATTTGGTTATTTCGTTCGGCATATAATTAATATGAAGGCTGAAATTGAATTACATCTTGAAAGGACAATAGAAATATATTTTTTCAGAACTCTGAAGCGTATGGTCTAGTTATACATGTATGACAAAAAAAAAAAAAAAAAAAAAAATGATTGATCTTAATTGCGGTGCTAATGGTCTTCTTTCAGTTCTTCATTACTACTGTATGTGACCGCTATGCTCACAGCTTAAACTGGCATTGTATTGGAGATTGTAGAATTTTTGAACGGTTGCTTGGATATCAATCGGGCAACTCCATTATGCATCATGAAGCTTACCCCAACCGTCTGGAAAATAAACGCGGGAAGGGTGTTAGCTTGAGTTCACAGGGCGTAGGGGAAAGTTTAAGTATTTCGGGGCAGTGAACGTATTACCGAAACCTCAAATTTACATGATCTTAATAAATCGCGTGTAAGGTGTGCAAAGCGATCATTAATTTCCTTCGGCAATCTTGCTGGAAACACAATTTTACTTACTTTCGTATGCATTATTCCGCAGGATCGTACAATTTCTAAACCACCAAAACCACTTTAATTTTAAAACAAACAATATCCAATGATACGTTAACTCATTACCGTCCGGACGACTAAAAATAGTCATTTTTTTAACTACTCGTGAAATGTCGAATGACTAAAGATACTCATTTTCTTGATTTCTCGTGAAATGCAATTTAAATTAAAAAATCCAATCATAAGATTTATTTGTGTAATCGAATTGAGATAAAATCTAATTTGAATGAAGCAGTATATCTTATAATTTAATTTAACTGTCTACTAGTTATATCCATTTTTGTAAAGTGTTGCAACAACCTTAAAATATGCCGGCAACACGCAAAAGTTTTCGCACAAATAGCCCGGTCAGTATTGTTTTAATGCAGAGAAAAATAGCAGATATAACCCAACCAAATTTTTTAAAGACAATCAGGAAAGCATATATTAAAAATTGTTCATAAAAGTTCGGTTATAAAATTTAGAGCACGTTAGCCTCGGGAACCGTGTCACTGTTTAAAAATTAATTCAGACGTTAAAAATGATTTTCAACGCATAACGTAGAAGGGTTTCATTATAATCGTGCATAAAAATTACTGGCGTGTTCTGCAGCGTGGTGCCAAACGGAGAACTGTAGTACTTTGTCGTGCATCGAGAGCGAAAGGGCCCTCATCCTTACACCACTCCACCATCCCACGCCTAAATCCGTGCCTGGGAGTCGTTACATTCTATCTCGGTTGCTCCTCCAGCAGGATTGTTCATCGTCTCCCTTCCGTTAAAATCGCCCTTTCTTTTTCCTCCCCTCTATCTTTCTCTACCGCACTTAGAAGCGCACGCACAGGCTCTCACGACTGCACCACGAGTTATCCAGTGGCGTCACCACAACTTATTAAACAATAGCAAACGCGAGCCATTAATTAAAATAATACTCGCGCTTATCTTCGGGGGCTGTGCAACACCATCATTTATGAACTCGACGACGAGAAACGAAAATTTCTGAAGCATCGTGTCTTCTGTTGTGCCGGTGTGTCCTTGAGATTTTCCGAGGCGACACAAAACCGAAACAGAATTTAACAATTCAAAGTCATCATTTTTATTTTCTCTTTATTTGAATTTTTGTTATTCAAGCATTTTCATTATTATTTGACAATACATATTTTGATGAATACATTTTTTTTTACTGTAACTTTTTCAGTGACTTAATTGATGGTAAACTATTTACCATTATATAATCATACTAAACAAATGGTACTGCCAGTCACATAAAACTTACATGTAACAGAAGAAAAATTAAGATCGTGTAGAATGTTCTACGAACATTTTACTAAGTTTTTGCTTCATTACAACAAATAAATAAGTAAATTGAACGTAAAACAAGCATTCTTCAGTAACAGTAAATACATTTTGGTTTGCTTTTTTGTAATTAAAGTGATAGTTTTACAAACCATGTGATAGTTCTAGAAACCATCTTTTGGGGTGTCAGGAATTCTGTCCATTTTCTTGAAATTTTCCCGGCAGACGGCAAAGGGAAAGTAACCAGGTAATAGTCAAGAAAATCGATGCTGTTGATGTTTTGGACGAGGTATAACGGTAATGCTGATCTTTTCTACCTGTTCCGCTCCTTAAGTACAAGCGTTATTGCCTAGGTAAATGTTTCTTTACCTGTTTTTGAAAACGGTTCAACGCGTACATTGTAAAAATTTTTATGAAGGATATGCGAGAGGCGACGAACAATGAGCTGTACAAACTGCCTCAGCGTCTACTTAACCAAGACCGTGGCCAGCATTGAGTGAAAAATCGACGATAATTTATCGATTCTAAGGAGCAAAGATCTCTAAAACTCTCATTACATGTTTACGATTCATCCATCGGTGGGAAACGTTCGCTTCTCGGGCTTCAATAATGACTCCCTTCTGTTCGCCGTGCAATGATCGGCAGGACGTATCGTGTCTGCGATTACGCGATCGGAGACATGGATGAACGATGATTCGCTCGTCGCACATTGTGCGCAGCGGATTATCGTAATTTGACTTTATTGCGAATGGTGACGTTCACTGCTTGCTCAAAGTAACCGGCCGATCTTAAATCCGGTAGCAAGACCGTACGCGCCCGCGTAAACTGAATCGTTAGCCTTTTGCCCTATAATATCGTGTCAGACTCGTTATGAAGATTTTGAAAATGATCTACTAAGTATGTACGTTATTCGCATCTTTTAAATCGAAATTGAATTTTGTTCATCTATTATTAATATTTAAACATTTAAATAAAGGTTGCCATATATAATACATCTAAATTTTCTGTCCGGCGTAGAAATTTATTAGTAACAAACAAATGCTAATCGACGTAGCTGTGAAATAAATTGTAGTGCAAAATGATTAATTAAACACAATTACTGTCCGAGTTTTCTCCTCATAATCCTAAGTGCGACATGAAAAAATGTTGATATTTTTTCAAGAACATTTTCTTCCAGTCGTGATTCTATGCCGTTTTAGGTAACAAAATGGAATATGCATTCTTCCCGGAAATAGTGGGACAGTTATTAATAGCCTGCGGATTTTATGTATTCACGACAGCAATAAGTTGATCAAACGCGAAACGGTAAAAGTGTTTGAAGGATGTAATAATACTGTGTTGTATTATTTTCAACTTATTTAATTTATTAAGAGGAGAATAATTGTTTACGTTACATCTGTGTCTTGCAATCAGTGCGGACAATTTTTATTTTGCATTTTTTAATTTTAAAATTCAAAATTGACCTTGTAGGCGTTTTCAAGGTCACGGACAAGGTCAAATAAATGACAACGAAATTTGTCCCCCTCAAAACCATATAACTTCGGTCTGAAACATTTGTTCACATCATTCGTATTCTGTATAGTACACTAGTGCTCAACGAAAGCATCAATTATAGAAATTAACAGACGAGATATTTTTTTTATAACGTAATCTTTATGTTCTGAACAATTAAAAATCAATAATTACTATGCCAGACACAATAAAGTATCATATTATAATATTAGATTGCATTGTAATAAAGTATTATTTTCCAAATTTTTGACATTATTATAATTTACGGTTAGATGTCGTCCTTACAATCTCTGCAAGTAAAGAGATATAGCAAAATTTATAAAAATCCACAACTCAAAAAGTTATTGAATTCCTCGACTCTCTCTCTGCAACCGTTTAAATTCCATTCAAAACGAAAAATCAATAAATAGTATTTGTGTACATTTCATCCTAAGGTTGGAACTTTTTCAAACTGCTGAGTTGTTTGTGAAAAAAACTGAAACTTATCTTACGATAACAAACACCAGACTCCATGCAGAAAGAAAGGCCGTAACACTGTATACGTTTGGGCTGATAAGTTCTTTTCACTCTGCATTTGATAATAAATACATATAAATATTATAAATGTTTAAACATGCATATTTCGTAACAATAAATGAATATTCTGATTGTTTTTAATATTATCTGTACATCTAGTAATGTACTTGCAAGTGCTCTACAGTGGCGATTGTTTTATTATAGTATCTCTGATACTTTGTTTTACCTGTTATTAAATGATTGTTAAAATTTGTATGATTATTTCATAAGTAGACCGTCGATTAAACGAGGTGCAACTACTAGACTGTGAATTCTTACGTACTTATGAGAAAAGTGATAATACGAAATAGAAAGTAGTAAAACCTTAAGAATATTGAAAGATATAATTTTTAAATAAAGCACATTATTTTAATTCTAAATTATTAACAGGAACGATACGATGTTGTCAAACACTTGTTCCTCGAAATTAACAAAAGATCATCATAGATCCGCAATCTACTTTCAACAATACCCTCGTAACCACAATTTTAAAAATTTGCCCATTGTTTCCGGGAAATATGTCGCTTGCTTCCTTAGAATGCGTATAATTGTGGCAAGAAGGAACGCTTGTTTTTCAACGAGTAAGTAAATTTTCCTCTTATTAACATTATCCTCCAACACAATTGTTTGAACATCAGCTTGAGCATATATTTTCCGTTTCAGATAAAGTAAAAAGAAAAAGATAAGCGCCCCGCACGTCCTAGTATTTAATAGTAAACTTTAAATCAGAAACCAAATTTGAAAATTAATTCTCTTGTAGACGACACGAACGAAAATTCCGTAAAATCGGTCGAGCTTTTCAAACGCGTTTTAATGCGTTTCGCATCGGGCATAATTTTTCAAACGGCTGTGACACGAGCGACGCGTTCCTTCAATTGTGTGTAACGCGATTGTCGACTGCACCGTCGACCTCCGATAGTCGCCGCGTGACGAAAACGCGCTATAATTTCGTCGATTACACGACGACAGGAGAACTCGCGTCGCGGTCAAGTAATTCGTTTGTGTTGGTGAGAGGAAGAGAGGAAAAGAGAGGAAAAGAGAGAGAGAGAGAGAGAGAGAGAGAAACATAGTGGGGCGAAACAACAACGGGCCGAGCGTATCGCCCGGAGGAAACTCCTTTTGCTGCGAGCCGTTTGACCGATCGAGTTAAACCTTCTAATACGTTAATCGCTTCAGTCTACCGCGATTGCAGATAGAGTTTCATCACCGAGAGGTATTGCTTATGGTACGAAGCCTTAAATGGTCTTTCGCTACGAGCGATTTGATACTCGAGGCTAATCGCGCCAATGTACGTTTTCTTCAGTTTTCCTGCATCCTTGCGCTACGGGCGTTAGTTTCTCCCGTACGCCATTTTTAGCTCAGCGTTGCCGCGTATAAAGCAATACCACTTTCAACCGTAATGTCGCCTGAGACCGTCCGAAAAATTGGGAAAACCAAGCCTGCTTACGGAACAGATGGCCTGGACATGCCTACCCGAACGTACTGTTGAAATGTAAAGGGACCTGTGGTTATAAACGCGGACACTTCCTGAGTACCGGACCCGCGGTGTATGTACTTGTTAGACGCTGCAA